TACCTGACAATCTCACCTTGTGAATTTACTTTAGCTTTGTAAACCCATTTCACATCTATTGGCTTCTTGTTTGCGGGTAGCTTGGTCAACTCCCATGTTTGATTCTTCTCAATGACTTTAATCTCCTCCTGCATTTCCCTTAACCACTTCTCATCTGTAGTAGCTTGCTCAAATGTGACAAGCTTAGCCTCGGCTATGAGTGCAAAATGCACAAAATTTCCCTCTGAGGTGATTGTTGCTTCATAGAATAAATCATAGTCCCTCAGATGAGATGGTAACTGTGATTCTCTAGAAAACCTCCTTAGATTACCTCCTTATCGTGTACCATCTGCAGAAGTTGCAACAAACTCAACTCTGGAAGGCTCATCCTCCATTTGAATTGTGGTATTCTGCTGCTACAGAGATTTCCAGCCCTAGATTCTGCCTTCATCAACTACCACATTTCTACTTATAGTAGCTTGTCCTGTCTCTGGATCAAATAACTTGTATCCACTAGTTGTGTGATATCCAATCAGTATCAATGGCACTCCTTTATCATCTAACTTTCTCCTCAGCTGATCTCATACATGTTTATAGCATACTGAGCCAAATACTCTCAAATGATCAACTCTTGGCTTGATTTTGGTCCATGCTTCCTTTGGAGTGATGTTCATCAGACGTTTAGTGGGAGTTTTGTTCAAAATAAAAGTGGCAGTTAACACATCCTCTCCCCACAAGAACTTTGGTAGCTCTTTACTCTTCAACATGCACCTCACCAGGTTTAATATGGTTTGGTTTTTTTCTCTCTGCAGTGCCATTGTGTAGGGAGGGGTTATCTCATGGAGTATCCCTTCATCAACACAAAACTGCTTAAACTCAGCAGATGTATACTCTCCACCACCATTTGTCCTCAACACTTTTAACTTCTTGTCACTCTGCCTCTCTACCATCTGTTTAAATTTCTAAAACACTTCCAACACCTCACTCTTTCTCTTGAGTAAGTATGACCATGCTTTCCTGGACCAATCATCTATAAATAGTACAAAATATCTACTACTCCCTGGAGTTTCAGTTTGTATGGGCCCGCATACATCTGAATATACAACCTCTACTTTCTCTGACGTTTTCTGAGGTACAAAGTTTTTGAAACTTCCTCTGGCTTGCTTGCATTGGACACACTCCTGACACACTAGTTCAGGGATATTAACTAGTGGTAAACCATGGACCATTGTGTCTGGGCTTAACTGAATTAAGTCTCTGAAGTTTAGGTGTCCAAAGCGCAAATGCCACAGCCACTCCACTTCCTTTTCTGCTGTTGCCGAAAAACACTGATGTTTTACTGCTTTCATGACAACACGAAAGGTTCTATTTTGGGACAATTTTGAACTTATGACCAGCTTTCTACTTTGGTTAAAAATGTTGAGGCTATTATCCTCTATCTTCATTACAAAACCCTTCTGTAGGAGTTGGCCCAAGCTCAGCAAATTTATCTTCCCATTTAGTACTTCCCTCATCTTTACGAACCACTATTTCTTCCCAGTCATATGGGTTGAACATCTAGAGTCAAGATACCATGATACATCCTCTGACTCCTCTTCATTCGTTCTTGCCATCAGCATCCTTTGACTCCTCTTTATTGGTTCTTGGGTTTATTTTTCGCACCATCAGCCTTCCAACACTCTTTGTCAAAATGCCCAAACTTCTAATAATTGTAATATCTGACTTTTGATTTATTAAACTTCCATTCTTTTTCACCATTAGAATTTTCCACATCCTTTCTGCGTTTTCCAGACTCAGTCGCTCCCTTACTCTTCTGTTCTTGGGAATCTTTATGTTGGAATTTTCCTTTTCCTGTTTTCTTGAACGATTTCCCCTTTCCTTTGTGAGAGGAACGGGCCTGCAAGACTTGTTCTTGACAAAGTCTTTGCTCATTCATCCTATACTCATGCAACTCCAATGAATGTTGCAGATCCTCAATCTCCATAGCTTTAAGGTCTCGTGTCTTCTCAATGGCCACAACCACGTGTTCAAACCTAGGTGGGAGGGTTCTCAAGATCTTGTCTACAACACTCTGATATGAGATGTTACCTCTGCAAGCCCTCATTGCATTGACGAGTTCTTGAACCTTGTCAAAGTAGTCTACCACGGTCTCACTTTCATCCATGTTCAAAAACTCAAAATGCCGCTGCAGGGTTTGCAACCTCGCCTTTTTGTTCTTATCACCTTCACCGTATTTCTTGACCAATATCTCCAAATCTTCTTTGGCTGATCCTACCTTTGAAATTTTATTGAAGATCTTTGGTGTTACACACCGATAGATAAGATACATGTCCTTACTATCCAACTTCAGTTGTGCCTTATGATTTTTCTTCTCCTCTTTAGTGAATTTTGAGGTTACCTCCATCACACCTTCACTCACTATCTCTGCAACATCTTGGAAACCGAAATTGGCTTGCATCTTAATGTGCCAATCATCAAATGCCTTGCCATCAAAGATCGGTAATGATCCTTGCATCATCCCTCCTAACCCAGCCATACCTCTGTTCTTTCTTTCATTTCTTGAACCCACGTCGTCGCCCAAAGAAATCCAACGTCCCTTCGTTAACTCATGTATTTCAACCTATACTCCTGATACCATAAAGGGTTTTGAGAGAGAGATACTAAAAAAATGAAAATAGCATCTGATATATTATTTTGTGGTGACCGAACACCCGTATTTATGGTTAGCTCCTAATTTTAACTTAACTACAAAAAATACCAACAAGGTCACATACATGCCCACCTTGCATTCTCATCTTGTTTGTAATTGTGAGAGTCCCAGCAAAATAATCATTAATTGATTCACCATTTTTCATCTGTAGAATCTCTCATTCACGTTTTAGAGCTTGTAATTGAACTCATTTTACTCTCGTAGTGCCTTGATATTTTTGTTTTAATGAACCTCAAATCCCCTTCGGCGTTGTCTTCTTTAAGATGGTTTCAAGCACGGTTCTATCAATCGCTTGAAACAAGTAGTTTTTCACTTTCAAATCCTTCAATTTCAACTCCTCCAAAGCTTTCAGTACTCCATTAGCAATGTTATGGAATTCTAGGAAATATAAGATTTCAGTACTCCATTAGCAATGTCCAATGGTCGTAATGCTCATTTAACTTTGGAATTGCAGATTGCACGAAATTACTGTTTGTGCTGATCATGATAGAAGTTTACAACTTTTTTTCAATAACAGTTGAAATTGATTTTGATACTAGTTGTTATTTCAGAAAACTTGATTCTTTTTTATATTCCTAAAATAAAGAAGCTAGATATATAGATTTAGTTTTACAACCGATGAACTAGAAAATAGAAAAGATAACTTCTACAAACTAATAAAAAAAATAACACTCATTTACTAATAACTTGTGAAATACATATAAAATTTAAAATATAAACAAAATTTAAACTGCACCAAAAACCTTATTCTATAATAACAAAAATATCTTTTTTACAACTTTTATTATTGTAAACCGTTATTGCCGTGACCAAAAATCTCACTCATCCACAAACATATTGTTAATGTTCTAATGACATATGTAACAATATCATATAATAGAATTATCCTCCACGATGATTCATAATAATAGCAAATTACCACTATTAATAAAAAGGAGGGATTCCTCTGTACTAGTTTCTATACTAGTTTGTACTAGTTTCTAATAACTCAAGTGAACACAAAGTATCTCGACAAACCCTTCTCTTTGTCAATAAGTTTATATAATTGATTACCTAATTAAATATAATTAATTACATCAACTAATATATATATATATATATATATATATATATATTATTAAAAATATATAATTTATTTATACAATTTTAAACAAATATTAAATTTGAAATTAAATTATATATGTTAAAATATTTTATTTTAAAAATAATTTTTTAGTAAAATATTAAATAAGTATATATAATAATATATAAAATTATTTATCAATTTTATATAGATATATTTTAAATAATAATAATAATATTAATAATATAAAAATAATAAACTTATTTATTTATGATTTATATATAAATTATTTTTATTTTTATTTTTATCTAATTTATTAAAGAATTATTTTATATTAAATTATAGCTTAACTTTAATTTTTATTTATTTATATTAAATTATTTAATATTTTTTAATTAATCAAATAATTTTTTTCTTCTATAATATTTTTGCTATTCGTTTTTCAATCTCTTAGTCTAAATAATCTAATTTTCACTTTTTTTTATTTTAATTTTTTTTTCACTCCCTCGGTTTTGTTTTTTCATGGTCCATTTCATTATCCAAACAAATAGAGAATAATAAAAAGCGAGCTAAAAGTTTCCGATTGAGTTAATTCCTTTACCATTTGATGCATATGCTCGTCCATGATTTGACCTACGGACTATGATTTGACCCGCGGACTTAACCTACACATGTTAGGTCATTTCCCTATTCTGCTGTTTCCATTATTTTATTTTATACTTGTAAAATTATACTTATTTTTTCTTTCTTTATATATTAGACTTTTTTTCTCTATATGATAATTTTCTCGTCTATTTATCTTTTTTTTTCGAATATATAATACTATACTTTTTCTATAAAGATAATAAAAGTATTTTTTTATTTTTCTTTATATATTAGACTTTCTTTTTTTTTCTCTCTGCAAAAACATTTATTAAAAAGATAATAATTCTTTTTTCCAATAAAAATAAAGTGTTTTCTCTTCCATCTCGTATATATATTTTTATAATATATATATATATTCTCTTGATATATATTTTTTCTATATTATATCACCTTATTGAAAATTAATTTTATAAAATACAACATAAAAAGTATATACTATATAATTTTAAGATAATTTTTTAATTCACTTAACTTAAGAATTGCTAATACACTTTTTAAAAAAAAGTTTGTAAATTTATATTTAAAAAAAAGTTTATCAAAATGTAACTTCAATACAGAAAAACATCTAAAATATTGACAAAGACTTGTCATCATTTCTTCTCTTCAATCCTTCTTGTCTTTGTCTCTAACCTTGTGTGCAGTTTCTTGAGCTGCCATCCAAGCTCCATCCATGGATTCCTTGGCACTATCTCTCACCATGTCAGCCCCTTCCACAGCTTTTATTGGACCATCTTTTGCTGCATCATTACTCATTGCCAACTCCTCTTGTTTCACTTCATACATATCCTCTCTCTTCATCGCCCCATCCTCACTACTTCCTTCTGCCACTGCATTACTACCCTGCAACATCAATATATTCTTTTCAACTCCCATTTAACATATCATTTTTCATCAAAAAAGACACAATTCTTAATATATATGTTACAAATCAATCCATGCTAAGTCGTCTTTTTATTAAGAAAAAATTAATATATATGTTTTTTGTGAACCTTCTTTAATATTTAACAAAATACTTTTAAACATGAATCATAGAAGATGCAAATAAATTTTTGCGAACATGCATACTTCAGCACGTTCATAAGCAGTGGATAAAGAAGCTGTTGAAAGGCGAGGAAAATCGTAACATCGAACTGATTTGGGGACACCGAGGATTGTTTTCTTGGTTAACAACATTGGAACAACCTTGGTGCTGCTCTTTGCAGTCCCTTCTAGAAATCGCTACCTCAATTGTTGTTGTTATAGCTTTGATATATAATTAGGGTTCGGACTTGGCGGTGAAGGCAACATTGGTTACGAGTAGTGATTGTGCAACACGTCGAAAGGGTTTGGATAGACACGTTTTGACATGTGTCATTAGGCATTTGATGTGTAAGAAATCAGAGAAATGCATGTATCTTCTGTGACTGTGTTTCACAATTTGTTTTCTAACATCTTCCATTTTTATTTAATTCGATATTGGCATTGTTTTATCTTGTAAGTCGTCAAAATATGGTGATGTATTGCTGGATTACTATAATCTGATAAAAAGTCTTAATTTCCTTGTTTTCGATTAAATTTCATTATTTTACTTTCTTAACCATAATAAGTAAATTTTAAAGAATTTATTTTTTAAATTCATTATATTTTTAAAATTAGAAAAATTATCCTCACAACAACAATGATAAAATTATTATAATAATAATAATAATAATAATAATAATAATAATAATAATAATAATAATAAAAGTTAATTTATTTTTTTTGTATTTAATTAAAAATATCCTGAATATTGTGCGGGGTCCAAATAAAGAAATAATAAACGGGTAGATTTTGGTAAGCGATTTGACGAGGCCTAGAAAGGATTAAGGGGAATCCGCTACTATTTACAATTTGGGGTCATTCTATTTACATTTTTCTTTTTCTCTTTGAACTTCAATTATTTTATATGTTGAGAGTTAATTTTTCATAATGTAAAATGATTTTTGGAAAATAAATTTCTGTATTGAATTCAACAATGAACTTGAGAGAATAAAAAAGACGAAAAAGAAAAAAAAGTGAAATTATTTGGATTGAGTAAAAAAAATAATAAATAAGATTGATTTGATTAATTATAAATAATTAAATAATAAGATAAATTAATAAGAAACTTAGGAATAATTTAATAAAAATTATGATTAATTATTATAAACTAATTATTTAATAAAAAGATTAATATATATATATATATATATACATAAATTGAAAATAATTTTGTAATATTTTTTAACATTTTTAATACTTTATAATTTATAAATAATATTAAATTGTAAAAACTATTTAACAAAGTAAAATATTTAGTAAAATATAATATTTATACATGTTTTTCTAAATTTCATAATAAAATATATAAATAATTTACTACAACAATAAATTTTTTATCACTACAAGAAAAAACACATTTAGCCACCGAAATTAGCGACCAAATTTTTTCGGTCGCAATTAGAGACCGATTTAGCGACCGATTTAATTTTAGTCGCATTTAGAGACCGATTTAGCGACCACTTTAATTCCGTCGCAATTAGCGACCACTTTAATTCGGTCGCTATTAGCGACCGAAACAACGACCAATGTTTGTGCGTCGCAAATTTTCGGTCGCTAAATCGGTGGCTATTTCATACAAAAATAAAAAAATCATTTAGCGACTGATTTAGCGACCGAATTACAAATTGAAATAGCGACCGAATTAAAATCGGTCGCTAATGAGAAAATAATCCATGATTATATCTGATTTTTGCAATATCGCTCAAGCGAAAATAACATCGCTCGAGCGACACAACCTGCACAAAATTGGCATTCTCGGGTTGTATTTCGCTTGAGCGACACTACTCTCGCTCGAGCGACATCCGATTCAAACATGAGGCACCCATGTTACATTTACGCAGGTCAACATTCGCTCAAGCGAACATGACATCGCTCGAGCGACGCCACCTGCACAAAATTGGCATTCTCGGGTTATATTTCGCTTGAGCGACATTACTCTCACTCGAGCGACATCCGATTCAAACATGAGGCACCCATGTTACATTATCCGGCTAACTTTGATCGATGTTTACGCAGGTCAACATTCGCTCAAGCGAAAATAGCATCGCTCGAGCGACGCCACCGCACAAAATTGTAGAACTTCCAAAAATGTAGAATTGAGAAGTTTGAAACAAAAAAAATTAAGAAAATAGAGATTTAATTACACTTTTAATAAATTTAAAATAACACTAGTGTTGATTTTTATTTTTAAATATTTATTGTAATTATTTAAAACAGAGAAAGTATAATTTTAGTTTCTAAATACTCAATTTAAAGAATTAAATTCATTATTATTTAATCTTTTAATTTTAGTATTAAAAATTTAAATTATATTTTATCAAATTAAAATAATTACAATAAATTTTTCTACTTTGAGAATGAACAATATAATTAAACTCAAAATTGAGAACATTATAATACATTTTTGAACTCTTTTGGATTAATTTTTTTTCCTAATTTTTGATACAGTTAATTTTAATATGTAAAAGTATTTAATATTTTGAATTCTGAAAGGTTTTCTCTAATAGCAAATTTAAAAGCATAATATTCAAAAAAATAGTTAATATAAGTTGTCATTATGATCGATCATAATTTGAAATGATCGATCATAATTGAGAGGATATAATAGCGGTTCCACTTTAATCGCTATCTAAAGTGTATATTAGATAGCGGTTAAGGTTTAACCGCTATTAGAAGTGGTTTTTAATAGCGGTTCCACTGGAACTGCTATCATATACAACCATATTTTAAGGTTCTGATCGATCAGATTTTCAAAATGATCGATCATATTTGCTAATTTTTTCAAATAAGTAATTATAATCGATTAGTTTTCTAAATTATAGATTAGAATTGATTAGTTTTTCAAATAATAGATTAGAATTGATTAATTTCTGAAATATATATTAAAATATTATAATTAAAAATATAGATTATTTAAGAATATTAACTATTGTAAAGATAAAGTTGAACATGAGAGGAGATGAGGATGATAATATAATGATAGAAGTTCAAAAAATGTAGAATTGAGAAGTTTGAAACAAAAAAAATTAAGAAAATAGAGATTTAATTACACTTTTAATAAATTGAAGATAATACTAGTTTTGATTTTTATTTTTAACTATTTATTTTAATTATTTAAAACAGAGAAACTATAATTTTAGTTTCTAAATACTCAATTTAAAGAATTAAATTCATTATTATTTAATCTTTTAATTTTAGTATTAAAAATTGAAATTATATTTTATTAAATTAAAATAATTACAATAAATTTTTCTAATTTGAGAATGAACAATATAATAAAACTCAAAATTAAGAATATTATAATACATTTTTGAACTCTTTTGGATTAATTTTTTTTCCTAATTTTTGATAAAGTTAATTTTAATATGTAAAAGTATTTTGAATTCTAAAAGGTTTTCTCTAATAGCAAATTTAAAAGCATAATATTCAAAAAAATAGTTAATATAAGTTGTCATTATGATCGATCATAATTTGAAATGATCGATCATAATTGAGAGGATATAATAAGCGGTTCCACTTTAACCGCTATCTAAAGTGTATATTAGATAGCGGTTAAGGTTTAACCGCTATTAGAAGTGGTTTTTAATAGCGGTTCCACTGGAACCGCTATCATATACAACCATATTTTAAGGTTTTGATCGATCAGATTTTCAAAATGATCGATCATATTTGCTAATTTTTTCAAATAAGTAATTATAATCGATTAGTTTTCTAAATTATTGATTAGAATTGATTAGTTTTTCAAATAATAGATTAGAATTGATTAATTTCTGAAATATATATTAAAAAATTATAATTAAAAATATAGATTATTTAAGAATATTAACTATTGTAAAGATAAAGTTGAACATGGGAGGAGATGAGGATGATAATATAATGATAGAAGTTCAAAAAATGTAGAATTGAGAAGTTTGAAACAAAAAAAATTAAGAAAATAGAGATTTAATTACACTTTTAATAAATTGAAGATAATACTAGTTTTGATTTTTATTTTTAACTATTTATTTTAATTATTTAAAACGAGAGAAACTATAATTTTAGTTTCTAAATACTCAATTTAAAGAATTAAATTCATTATTATTTAATCTTTTAATTTTAGTATTAAAAATTGAAATTATATTTTATTAAATTAAAATAATTACAATAAATATTTCTACTTTGAGAATGAACAATATAATAAAACTCAAAATTGAGAATATTATAATACATTTTTGAACTCTTTTGGATTAATTTTTTTTTCCTAATTTTTGATAAAGTTAATTTTAATATGTAAAAGTATTTAACATTTTGAATTCTGAAAGGTTTTCTCTAATAGCAAATTTAAAAGCATAATATTCAAAAAAATAGTTAATGTAAGTTGTTATTATGATCGATCATAATTTGAAATGATCGATCATAATTGAGAGGCTATAATAGTGGTTCCACTTTAACCGCTATCTAAAGTGTATGTTAGATAGCGGTTAAGGTTTAACCGCTATCATATACAACCATATTTTAAGATTGTGAAGTCTCGGGTTGTATTTCGCTTGAGCGACACTATACTCGCTCGAGCGACATCCGATTCAAACATGTGAGGTCTCCCATGTTACATTATCCGGCTAACTTTGATCAACGTTTACGCAGGTCAACATTCGCTCAAGCGAAAATAACATCGCTCGAGCTACGTGACCTGCACAATATTGGCATTCTCGGGTTGTATTTCGCTTGAGCGACACTAGTATCGCTCGAGCGACGCCACCTGCACAAAATTGGCATTCTTGGGTTGTTTTTCGCTTGAGCGACATCCACATTTTTTGGTTATGATCGATTACATTTTCAAATGATCGATCATATTTGAAAATATATAATAGCGGTTAAGATTTAACCACTATTAGACGTGCTATATAATAGCGGTTAAGATTTAACCGCTATTAGAAGTGTTATTATAATAGCGGTTAAGATTTAATCGCTATCATATACAACCACATTTTTTACTTTCCTATCTTGCGCCACTTATCCCCAAATAACCCTAACTCTCGCGCCTCACTCACCCATTCCTCTTAACCTTGGCTAGTATCTCCTCCTCACTCCAGCGAACCCTAGCCCCCTCATTGCTCCCCCCAAGTCAGCCCTCA